CTGCAGAAGCATGCATCATTTTTCACCACGCTCCCCGTTTTCATATATCTTTACAAAAGCATGGCCGCTGCCATGGAACAGCCTCTCCGCTTGTTCGCTGGCTTGAACTTCACTGACGTCCGACCGCTGCCTTTTCCCTGCGCCTGAACGCAGCGCAGCGGGGATGGATTTGCAAGACAAACGCAGCTGCGCGTGAGAGAGGGAGTCAAGTGGCACAAAAAAGGCCGTTTCAGTCAGACGACAGGGATGGAGAAAAGTCAGCATTATGCACACGTCAAATCAATCAAAAACAAAAAGCCTGTATGGACCAGAAGAAGAAGAAGAAGAAGAAAAAAAAATGCTCTCGTTTATGGGGCTAAAAACGCAGAGGGGTCGGGTGGAAAGAGAGGAACTGTCCGTGTTCCACAGGTCCGTTCACTGAAAAACCAAAACTGAAAAAATAAAAAGTTTAATGGTCGTGAAATATCCAGATTTGAACACATTTTAACAATGTTTTCTGTCCATGTCCTACATTGATGACAGGAAATGATGTCAAATAAAATACATCGTGTAATTCAATATACATTTTATTTTATTCAAAACATTTTTTATACATCTAACATTTTAAAGTATCAGTCTCCTAACTTATTGGTGTGGGGGGGGGGTCTTAAAAGTACTGCAGCAAGGTCATGGAATTTCTTTGGTTGAATTGACAACTTATTAATTATTAGTTATATTCTTTTAAAATGTTGCATCTGTTCAAAATAAAACCCCAAAAATATAAATCAGTGGTTTGTGTAAACAGCAATGTTTGCTTAAAATGCACTAAATAAGTAGGTTATAGGAGTTATAGTAAAAAAAAAAAATATATATATTCAACATTTATTGAGAAATTATGGTGGGGTTGGGGTCAAAAGATCACTGACCAATGACAGGATGTCATGACAGAAAATACATGTTGTGATGATTTCAAAGACTTCCTGTAAACACTGTGTGTGTCTGCGGCTGCAGCTGAGGTCCAGCTGGAGTGCAGTGAGTCAGAGCCGGCAGTGGCTGGTGGGCAGTGCCGGCGGG